GGGGTTAGCCTCCAGCGGGTGCCGGTGCTCCCTGTACCGGCGGGAGCGTAGAGCACCCCTCCCCGGTCACTCTTCCAGTTGGGAGCAGGGCAGGGAACAGCTGGGAGCAGGATCGCACCCAGCACATAAAATAGTCACAGTAACAAACTGCGTTGGCCTCGGTGACTTCCGTTTGACACCCTCTCTCCAAACACAGGCTTTCGTTTCCAACAGGAATTGTAACACAAATATTTATTTCTCCAACCCAGCTCATGCTTTTAAAAGGGAAACTATGCAGCATCATCTGGAGCAGGCGGAAAGCTGCAGTTGCTTCCCTCTTGCTCTCCTCCGCTGGTCAGAGCAAGCAGCTGAAGGAAGCCCCTTTGCAGCTGTGGTTCATCTCCTGCCCGTGCCTTTCCCCTTGCTAGAGGACCTTGAAAGATCGCTGAAGGACAGCACAGAGGCTGTAACTCGAGCCGCAGCTTTCGCTACCCTAAGGGATGCGCAAATCTTACATCCAGATGCCCAGCTCAGGGTTTAATTAGCGTTCAACCCGACAGAAGAAAAGCCGTGGCGAGTTCAGGCTGGATGCTGCATCCAGGCTGGTGCTCTCGCTGCTGTCCTCCAGCAAAGCCGCTTCTGCAGTTGCGAATGGCGAGAGGCGGTCCAGGTGTTTGTCCTCTTCCCCCCCCCCCGAGCAACAGCTTCACCTGCTAAATATAGCCAGCAGTCTGAAGAAGCCTGCAGCACATTCAGGCCACATCTGAATAACAAGAATTCAGTCACAGACGCGGGGTGTCATTTCCTCTCCCGCTCTCGCGGCGAGGGGAGGAGCAGCTGGCCAACCATCTCTCCCACAGTGAGCTTTCAGGGCAATTATGACAGTTCCTGCTGCCCACTGGTATAATCAATAGCGGCTGTACAGTCAGATGATTGCAAGCAACCCACACGCTTGGCACAGAAACAAGCATTTTCTGGGAAAAATGGGGGTGTGAGGGCAGAATATAAGTGCCCCTGCTATC